AAAAAAAAAAGAGAGAGAGAAGTATAACTATGGGGTCCATAAAACAATAATCCGTTTAAGAATAATTGGAGTATAATTTTTAGCCTTTAATTTTTTTCAATTATTAATTTAATTCTTAAATTTTGGCTCAGTATAATTCAATTATTTTAATTATTAAGTTACCAATTTATATAGACAAAATAAAACGAGGGTATGATTCACTAGAAGGATTAAAACCCCAGATCAGAGTGAGTTGGGTTTGAGAAATGTGCGTGGATGGGGGCAACAGTGAGACACATCATTGTCGGTTAGGTACTCAAAACAAAAATGTCATAGAATAAAAAAAATTAAAATGAAAAAATAATGATGAGAAATATGCTGTCTGCATCTTCATAGAATAACTTTTCAGCAACCACCCCCCCTAATTTTCCCGGGGGTAATAACATGAAAGGCTTTAATAGTTAATACCTTGATAGGATGAGAAGAGAAAATAAAAGGAAAGAAAAAAAAAAAAAATTCTTTCTTAATATTTGGATAAATAAAAGAAAATACATACTTCTTCCATTTAAAAATATAAATTATTTTTAATCAAATCTTACTTATCAATACAATAATTACCCATTTTTAATTAATTCTATCTTTTTATGTTTACCCTATTGAACACCTTACAATAAATATAAAGTCGTTTATCAATAGGAATACTTTTAAAAAAAATAATAATTACACCTTAAAAGATTAAAACTATCTTACATTTTTTAACATTCAACTTCTCAAAAAATACCTTATATTTTTAATGAAAGAAGTAAAAAATAACTAATTTGATAATAATAGTACTTGAATCTGGCTCAATTTATATATTTAAAAAAATATTTTTCTCATTAAAATATCTTCACTTTTTTAAAAAAACTTTAAATAGAGAAACCTATTTGTTTTTATATATCTTTTTTTTTATTTTCCCTTCTTATGTTTTTTTTGCTCTCAGTCTAAAAGTCTAAACGTAAGTCAAGTCAGAATGAGATACCTTTGACAGTGCCATCACCGTAGATGGGCAAAACATCCAACGGTGGAGGGTGAGTGGCAGGATGACAATTGTCATAATAAGGCCAAGAGGCAATAGAATTGCAGCAAATGTAGGTGCAAGGGATCCCTGCCTCCTCTATCATTCGCCTCACCCTCCGCTTCTCTTCATACATCCGGAGCCCCGGTTCCACTGGATCCGCCCGGTCCACGTCATGCCCGAACTCCGACGGCAAATATCTCTGCAACCCCCAATTTCAATTTCATAAAAGACCATTAAAATCCTTTTTTTTATTCTGTTTATAAAATAGCCAGTCATCATTAATTATCTCCATTCTTTATTATTTAATTAAAATACACCTATTTTTCTACTAACTTAATAAAATAATTCTTTCAAAGATTCGGTCCCCACAGCAGAGTCGTATTCAAGGGGGGAAGTTTATTATTTAATTTTAAATATTATGAATTAAGGCTGAATAGTTTGCGGCCAGTAGTTTATTTTGCCGAAGAAAGAATTTTCTGTTTAGTTGCAAAAAGAAAAAAGAGACTTTTTCTGGCCGAACGCAAAAGATGTCGTATATGGACGTCCAAACACAAGGTAGTACTGATTTTCATGTACAACGAACCAGAAAAATTTATTAATAAGGACAACATTTATTTCAAATTTAAATTTAAATTTAAATATCCTTTTTTAAAAGAATGTACTCCCTTCATTTAAAAATGTAAAACATGTTTAATCAAATCTCATCCTTAATAAAATAGTTACTTATTTTTTAATTAATCCTATCTTTTTATATTTATCCCTATTAAACACCATATAGTAAATATAAATTCATTATTAATAGAGACGCTTTTGAAAAAAAGGTAACGATTACACCTTGAAAGATTAAAAATATTTTACTTTTTTAATATCCAACTCTTTAAAAAATATTTTATATTTTTATACAGAAGGAGTATAAATTATACGAGAAGTCTAAAAATATTTATTGATCTTATTAGTATTGTAAATTTTTTATCATAAATATAAGAGAGAATAATTATTTTTTAAATATATATATTTGATATTTTATACCTACTCTTCAAAGGAGAGACAAGCTCAATTTGCTTTGATTTAATGCGGGGCCTTTTGCTACCCTACCTTGCAAGTATCATTCATGAATCGTATCAACATCACTATATTAATATGCATATATATAATTAATTATAAATATATAGTATATTTTATAAAGCATCCCACGTATTATATATATAAGGCTGATCATTAATGTTCTATGCTCTCTATCATCATGAATCTTTTCGTTCGTTAGTGTATTTATTTATAATCAGTCATTCTCGAACCTTTTTGTAGAAATAAATTGCTCCCTTCATCTTAAATTATAAGATATTTTTTTAAAAAAAATTAATATTTTAAAATATAAAATATTTTGATAAAATAAAGTTTTATTAATGATATTTTTTTAATATTATTCTTTCATGTATTCTCTCTCTTCAATATTCTTTATCAATGAAGTATTAAATGAAGAGATTTTTTAAAAGTTTATACTTTTGTCTTAAAAAATAAGATAATAAAGTGTATTTAATAAGTTTTATTAATATATAAAATTTTACCTAAAAATATTTTATAATTTGATACAAAGTGAGTATAATCTTGATGTTTTCCTCGTTCGTAACTTTCATTCTGTTTAATTTAATTTTTCATATTAACAAAAAAGAAAAGAAAGAAAAGAAAAGAAACACGGACAAAATGAACTACAGGGTCTTTGACTTTCTGCATGGTGCGTGTCCTCCCTATCTACCCTTCTACCCATCCAAGAGTTATTATTTTATAAATTCTTCCCTGACTCGTTGGAGTAAATTAATTAATTAAATCTTTAGAGACCCAAAAAAAAATTTATCAAATAACTGAGATTTCATAAATTATTATTATTATTATTATATTTTGCCAACAAGTTTTCATAAATTGTTAAAATATGACTACCAAGATGACAGAACTGATTAGATATACTTTTTTGGGTTGGTTGGTTGGTCCAAGATTCGATGTACTTGAGGAAGAAGATGGACTCGTGGTGGTGTTCATAATTTTTCACTAAAAAAGGAAAATAGAGAGACAGAGATAGAGACAGAGAGAGAGAGAGAGAGAGAGAGAGAGAGAGAGAGAGATGATACCTTAATAGTTTTGACAGATTTCATGGCCTCCACAAGAGGGAGCTGATCAAGAACGGCTTCGCCTCCCACTGCCGATATTACAATCTCTATGTCGTTCTCTTTCAATATCTTCTCCATCACTTCCTTCTCTTTAATCGATCCCTGTATCAACACCAAACAATTTTTAACAGCTGTTTCTTTTAAAAAACATAATAATTAAAAAAGGTTTAGAATAATATATTTGCTCACATGAAGAATAGTGGCCCCCTTCTTTTGAAAAGCTTTGACAAGGGCGGCCTTGGGAGGGGCGAGCGGTCCACCGCGTACGAGCACGAAGGTGGAGTGGCCGGCGGCGAGGCTGGCCTCCGCCACGAACCGACCGATGAAACCCGTCGCTCCGACGATGAGTACCCGTCTGATTGGGGCGGCGGAGGCGGCTGCAGCTGTGGCGGCGGCAGGGGGAGTTGCTGGTGGCACCGTCATTTCCAACCTCGTACTTTGCTTCCCCTGATGTATAATTTTTTTTCTTTTTAGCAAGAGCCTGATACTTGCGGGTGCAATGGGATTGTCGTTTATATAGGATAAGGCCCGAACTACAATTTTTCAACTACTCTTCAACACCTATGCACGTGGAAAATTCCAACTATTTTTATTTTGATTTATTATTATGACAAGTGTTCAACAATGAACGACATTCTTGCACACGACACAGCTCGTATTAAATATAACTGTTTTTTTTTTTAACATGCCATAAATTTTTTATAGCGTTCTCCCTGGTTCACCTCATCAGATTTTTTTAAACAAGCTATTCAAAGTAGCCTTTTAAAATAATCAGGAATTTATTTTTTTTGAATTTTGAGTATTTTTAAAAATTTAAATAAATATTATAAAATTTTACAAAATAGATTTTTTTAAAAATGGATAATTAATTTTTCATCAAAAAAAAACTTAAACAAGGGAACCCATACGAAAGTTATAAAATATCTTCTTTTTCTACACTAGACTACTGTTATGGCCATGGGAGCTTCATGTGGATTTTCAACTTTTTAAATTAACGAACATGAAACTTATAAATAAATAATAATTTAAAAAATAAATATTTGAAAAGAAATTATTGAACAATCTTGTTGGTGACAAGTCATCTCACCCACTAATCCGTCTTGGGAAAAACGCTTTGACGGTACCCTCGGGATTTATATGTTTTTTATTAGGTAAATTATTATTATTATTATTATTATTATTATTATTATTATTATTAAAGCATTTTCCACTAGCATTGAGATTACAAGCGAGACCAAAGTTACGACCGTATCACTAAGCTACAAAGCCTTTGAGATTGAGTAAATTACTTTGAAGGTAAAGATAGCACGAACTTTAACGGTTCAACCCATGTGCAGATAACATTCTTGTCTTTAAAAGATGACAAAGAACACCCCCCCCCCCCCGGATTATTAGTAGATTTTCAATTTTCTGTAGATAACCCTCATATTATTAATTAATTTATTGTTTTACTAATTGAGTGTTTATACAATGTTAATGACTAAATACATATTCCTTTAAACTTTATTTTCTATAGATAACTTCCTTAGACTTTTAATTATATGCAGATGACTTCTTTAAATTTTAAATTATGTGTAAATAAATTCATTATTCTATTATTCTTGTGAAAGAATGAATAAATTAATAGTAGATGAGTTATTTGCATTGATATAAAAATTCAAAAGTCCAATGTACAAACTAAAAAGTAAAAACCCACACATTAACCCAAATTTTAGGGAGTTTATGTACTCCTTCTTGTCCAAACTGTAAGATATTTTTTGGAACAATTATTTTGCATATTTTTATAATTTTTAAAATTTTGAATTAGGTTCATGTAGCTGGGTTTATTTTAATCAAGCTCTTGTAGTTTGATCTGTTAGATTTATTAATCCCTAATGAGTCAAATTATTAATGAATGATTTATTTTAACCTCCAAGGATTAACAAATCTAATGCAGACACCTTATTCAAAATTAAATAAAATCACAAGGGCCTGTGGATTAATTTTTCCATAATTTTTTTAATTAATTTTGGTCTAAAATATAAGTCACTTAGCACTTTTCAAAATCATTTTTTCTAATTTTTTCTTATATTAATTAATGTGAGGGTGAGAAATATAATCCGTCTAAACAATTTTTCTTACGCTTCATAATAAGGGGTTAAGGGCAAAAGAGAATTCTACCCAAAAAAGGGGGCCAAAAGAGAAAAATATATCATCTTGTTATAAAAGAAAGCAAGGAAATAATTTTTGCAAAAAAATTTTTTTTTTATTGATTTTTAAAATTTGATTGTCTCTTATAAATTGGATAGGATGGGGGTATAATTTATAGAGTTTAAACGAAAAAACATACTTTTACGATGTATTATTAAATTTATTATCACTCCATAATTCATTTATAATAATTCACGTTATTTGATTTTTTTCTAACACCGGAGCTCGTCATTTGATTGAAAGCATGGCATTTTTCTAGTTTTGTCTCTGATCAAATTTTCAAGGAAAATGTATCTGGTCATCCAATGATGGAATCTGTCATATTATTAAAATTTGGACGAAGAAAGAAAAAATGATCCTCCACAAAGAAGGGACCGTATGGACGAAGAAAGAGAATAATACTTGCTTCCAAAATACATCAATGCCGTGCGCGGCTTCATTTTGTTTCCAAGACAATGTAGGGGTAAAATTGTCCATTTATTAAAAAAATTTGACTACTCTAGTATTTAAAAAAAAAAATAGCTACTAATGCCTTTTAAATTATAAACCACTTTAAAAAAAAAATTTGACATCTCAAGATGTAAAACACTTTAATAAAAATAAAATTTTATTAATAATATTTTTTAGTATTAATCTTTATATTTTTTTAATATTTTTTAATAAAATATTAAATGAAAGGTATATTTAAAAATTTATATTTATTTTAAAAAAATAAAATTATAAATTATATTTAATAAATTTTATTGATATATGAAGGGATGGACCCGTTTAGAAAAAGAAGGGACAATTACCTCCATGTAATTTGCAAAAGTTACATTTAACTTTTGTTAAAATCATGCTTGCTCCTTTAAAATTGTAATTGTTTCCATAAAAAAAAAATTAATCCTCCCACATTCTTTTTTAAAACTATCAAACATGCATATTTCAAATCATTGTTTAGCCTTTTATTTAGAATGAAAATAAATTTATGGTGCAAGTGAAATAAAGACATAGTATTTTCAAAATTCTCACATAATTTATTTACATATTACTTTAATTATTAGTTAAAATTATATTTTAAAAAAACATAAATATTTATATTTAGAATAAATATTGCCACTATCACTAAATTTTTTTAAGTTTGGATATATATAATTTTATTTAAAGTTATCTTATAATTTAAATGAAAAGATTACTATTTTGAAGTGCAGCTATCACACTGTCAAGCAGCTTTCTAATTTGACTGATAGATGGCCGTCTCTGTGTGAAGAACCACACTGAATAAGCATTAATCAACCATTCTTAATTGGAAAATTAATTTCCCTCTGGAAATTTTGATTTCTGCGTAAAGTTATATTGACTTTTCTTCCGAGCCCCTTCACCTTCGGGTCTCCGTGTTACCAAACCGAACTGAAAAACAAATTAAAAAATTAAGAAAATATAAATATCATAAAATATAATATGTGTATATTTTTTATGAATATTAATAATAAGACGGTAATTATTTAATTAATTAATATTATTAAATCGTGGCAGGGAGTGCGACCAATAATATTGGCCGTATCATGACCCAACTCCTTTTACAGCAAGTCTCCTTAAATTGGACAGGATATTGATTAAATTATTGTATTTTGAATTTTATATATTAGATATTATATTATAAGTAATATATTTAATTGTGAGATTGTCATAACCTCTCTTGCCATTTGATTTAGTAATTATATGATAATTAATTATTCAATCGTGGCTGGGAGTGGGACAATAATATTAGGGAAAAGGACAAGAAAAATCTTCCTTCCATGACTCATCAACTCCTTTTTACAGCGATTATGATTAATTGTAAGGATTTAAAAAATCTGATCAATATTTAAATTAGACAAGACATTGATCTAGATTGAATCAAGTGCAATCGTTTATAATTAAATTATTACATTACAAATTTTATATATTAAATACATATTACATTACAAGCAATATATTTAATTGTGAGATAGTGATAATCTCTCTTGCCATTTAACGAAAGAAAACGTCAATGAACACGTTATCAAAAAAAAAAAACGTCAATAAATATTAAGTTACTATAATTAATAACAGAAATCCCCAGCCAGATGTTATAAAAAAAAATTAATGCAATATAATAAATTGAATATCGAGTATTAAATTACTATAATTAATAACAGCAATCCCGAGCCAGATGTTATGAGAAATTTTTAGATAAACCCAGCATCATTTACAATCTATATGAAAAAAACATGACATTCAAACAACATTTTGATACTAATAATAGTAGAAAGAGGAAAAAAAAAGGAAGGAATTAAATTTGCATTCTGTAATGAAAATAAAATTAATTAAAATAATATTAAATAAGATTTTATTTAGATAACTTGGGTCATTTTAATTGAACAGATAATAAATGACATAACATCCTTAGTCTGTTTAAGAATTTCTACAGATGTTATAAAATAAATTAATGCAATATAATTAATTAAATCTCAAACTATCTACTCCTCTTAAATTCAAAATTTTTTTATTTAGATTTTATTTTAAAATGCAGATTAATTCTTAAAAAATGACGTAAAGCAAATTGCAAGTAATTTAAAGTGACAAATTGAAGTTTCCATCCATTAACAAGAACTAGAATAGGCCCTCATGCATTTGCAAAAAATAAATAAATATTATTTCTGCTTTCCATGACTTATTTACATATCTTTTTAAATAAAAATATCTATGAAATACCCCGACCGATCCTTCATATAAAGAAAAATTTAAAAAAAAATTATTTTTAATTTAAGGTAAAGTTAGAGTAATTATTCTTTTTAATTTTTTGCAATAATTATTTACTATAATTTGATTTCTTAGGCAGTCGTTTATTATTATTATTATTATTATTTTGCAAAGAAGGAAAAAATTTGAAAATTATTAAATTTTTAATAATTATAAAGATATAATTATCATTTCTTAATAAACGTAAAATTGTTTAACTTCATCTTATATCAAAGATCAAACAAAGTATAAATACAATAATAAAAATAAATAAATATAACTTTTTCTGTTTAAAAATGTAAGACATTTTTAATTGAATTTCACTCCTAATAAAATAATTACCTACTTTTTAACTAATTCTATCTTTTTATATTTATCCTTGTAAAATATCTTACAATAAATACAAAGTCATTTATTAGTAAAGATACTTTTTAAAAAAATAATAGTTACATCTTAAAAGATTAAAAATACCTTATATTTTTTAGCATTTAATTCTTTAAAAATATTTTATATTTTTAAATGGAGGGAATACATGTTATTTATTATTTCCATACAGAATC